CTATGGAGAAGTCAAGGCGTTTTAACGCGTGCATATATAAAGGCTAATACCAGGTATGAACACTAAATGAAACATTAGCTATGATATAAGGAATGTCATGACTGGGCCACTTTATCATGCAGGCGCGCTTGCAATTATTTTCCTCCAAGCATTGAAATCAGGCTTATCGATGAGATCATCAACATAATTCGTATAACGGTTGGCTCGATTTAAACTAAAGTTTTTTCCCTTGAGTGTATTTGCTTGGCTAAACTGTAGCTCTCTATTGACCATGCATATATCGAAATATGACACGCATTCGAAGTAAGATTTCATATAGATGATCATGCAATCCACCACTTCAGCTGTGAAAAGCACGTGTAGTTTTAGGGTGGGTCACGTGACTCGAAATATAAACATTGCGGACATTCGGCCTGTTGTTTAATAGAAGTGAACATGGCAATGACTGTAGCTCCTGATTAGAATTGCAAATTAAGCGCAAATTATCCTCATATTTTGGTTATCTTTATATCCAAACAATAGTAATATGTCTATAGAAACTCCAAAAAGGAAAAATAAGTGAAGCAGGTATTAAAAATAGTATTTTCCGAATTTACAATACATCGGCGTTCGTGATCAAAATGGTCGCGACCAAAAGATGCGCTTGGGGCACATGCAAGAACGATTCCCGCTATCCACATTTGATGGTTAAAAATAAGAACAACGATCCTGTATATTTCCATCGTTTCCCGGCACCAAAAAGATCGCCGAAGAAGCGTTTAAGGTGGATAACATCATGTCATCGAGGCGATAAGTTTGTCTGTTCAAAGGACAGCTACATTTGTAGTTTGCATTTTGTGGGTGAGAAAGGGCCAACAGCAGAAAACCCAGATCCCATTTCAGCGATAGCAAGTGAACAACAGGTAAAAATTATGCAACAGTAAGCTTGTAAATAACCTCTGGCTGATTCGTACGGTTTTCATTATAACCTGAATGTTTATGTACTTCACGTCACTGAAGGTAAAGCAACTTTCAAGAAAGCGCAAACCCACCGTGCGAACGTTAGAGTACCCAAAGAGACAAAGGAAGAAGTCTGAAAACGATGTTGCCGTATCTCTTTTGAATTTGTCGGAAACTGTCCCTGTGCTTGAGCCAGAGCCAACAATACCAGTACATACCAAATCCGTGGGGGAATCCGAAAATGAAACACTGTCTGTTGCAAAAACTTTGGTATCACTAGCCGAGAGCCAGAAGGAACCAAATATTGACAACACTGAATCTTCTTCAATTGACATTCAGTCACCAATGATTGACAACATAAACCCAGAATCTGCCATTAGAGAAAGTTCGACACAGGTAAATAGTGAGATTTGTGATTAGTTAGTCAATGGTACGAAGTGAAAATTTGTACTTTTAATGAGTATCTTTTTTATTGCTAGACTATTATTACTGCAAATGGTATTGGGTTATACACTAACCAAATGTTAGAAAACCCAAAGATGTTACGCCGAAAGCTGTTCATGCAATTAGTAGAAAATAAGGATAAGACTTATCACTACACAGGTACAATATATTTATATATTGTAAGATAGTACAATACCGTATTTAAAAAGTAGGTTGCATCTTGGTGGTTGCTATCTACAAATGCATTGCTAAAGAGACATGCTTCCCTTGTAGGATTGACAAAAGATTGTATGGATTTTGTATTCAGCTCAGTCAAAAAAAAAGCTAAAAATCTAATTATGTGGAAAGGATTTAACGAATGGCAAAGAATGCAAGAATTGCACTACATGTATAGTGTATAGTCATCACTTTTTGCTAATACTAAAAGAAGGTTGATGTATTATTTTGTATTATCTCTGTACTAAAATATTGTACTATATTTAGGCAAAGAAATTACGTACTATTTTAAATGAAAAAGAGCAATTGGTATTTACACTTGCGTGTGTGCGTCATTCTCCAACTCTGGCTGTGCTCTGTCTGGTTGGGTATCTTTGCTGTGCTAGCAAGATTTTCATCACATGGATACTATTCCTTGAGAAAGAATTAAACTTTTTTGATAAAGTTTGCAACTTTGTCTGCGATGGAAGGAATTGCACGCCCAAGCTGTTATGTCGAGTTGAAAAATCTCCGCGCTATTATTGACTGTACAGAACTATACATTGACAAACCATCACGACCATCAAGTCAACGTAACACTTACAGTCAATACAAGTCAAGAAACACATTTAAAGTATTAGTGTCACAATCCCCAATATGTCATTTCAACTTTGTTTCAAATGCATATGCTGGGTCAATCAGTGACAAAGAAATTGTGCAGAAATGTGGATTTCTTGATCATTTAGAGGAAGGTGATATTGTAATGGCTGACAAGGGTTTCAATATCCAAGACCTTTTAGCTGTACGTGGAGTCCGTCTTTTAGCCCCACCATTAATGAGGAAAGACAATGTATCAGCTCGTGCTTCAACATTAACCAGGAGAATTGCTACCAAACGAGTCCACATCGAACGAATGATAAGAAAACTAAAGAGTTATAAGATACTAAGGAAATGTATGCCACTTACATTCAAGGGATATGTAAGTTCAATAATTAAGGTGGTTGCAGCATTAGTGAACTTGCAACCACGTATTATAAAAACCTAGTTAATCAATGAACTAGGAGTATTTCTGACGATGTGTCACTTGTAAATAGTACATGGTAGCCCAATATTTCTTTGCTTTTGCCCTTCTTTCTTCAGCTTGCTCTGTAGTAAACCAATTATGAATCTTTTTTACATATTCATCTGGATTGCTTTCATATATTGCCAATTCCTATTTAAGGAATTTGTGTGTTGTTGTTAGTCATTCTGTTTTCTGTTGCATTTTTGCATCCTTGTATGCTATATAGCTCAAACAACCCTTATAAAGATATAAAATTAGTAGTGCCTTACCTTCAAGAAGTGTTCTAGAAATAAAACAACATAGAAGCCACAGCTATTGCTATCTAGTGGTTGACATGGGACCTAAAAGGTATACAAATATAACTATGTGTATTTGGGTGCATGTTGATTATGTTATTATGAAAGTAATAATAAATATAATAGCAATGAAGGTTTAAAATGTTACCTTCATTGAAACACATTTTAAATTGGTGTATTTATTTTCAATGCCATCTTCTATGCACAGTTTACTAATGTATCTAAGGTAAGAAAATTTATGGCAATTAATGCATGTTTATTGAATAAAACATTATTGAAACTGGTGAAGGTTACAGCTTAATTTTGTAGTGTTTATAGGAACTCTTTACTATCTAGGAAACTAATGGAATTCAATTCCAATTGAATTTTTTGAAAAAAACTTACCTACAAATCCTGCTGTTTTCAGTGTCTTTCGTAGAAACATCCCATGTTAGTGAGTCAAACCACAAAATGTGCCTACAAATGATTTTGTTTATTCTTTTTAAACAATATTTTGTGGCATATAGTGCTTTGGAAGTATGTAGTTAGGTATCTGCAATATTATATTTAAAATTGCCAAATATGACGTACCATGGAGTGATAACTGCCAATGACCAGTGACTGCTACAATGCACAGGAAGGCTAAATTACTACATATTTTAATTGTAAATTGGTGGAATTTATACATTATCTTTACCTTCTTACAACGGGTATACTGACATAGTCATCTAAAAGGTGGTTGCCGTTGAATACATTGTGTGCTGCATTATATCTTTCCATTCTGGAAAAAAAGATCCATTAGGAGATGACAAAACTTGATTGTAAGCAATTTGATCAAGACATTAGGTTAGCGATGCTATTAAACAATGGAAATATTTTGCATATACTGTCACAGACGTTACCTATTGGAAGGATTCCATCCATCTTGCTCGCCACACAAGATTGAATAAAATAATGGATCAATTATTGGAAAATGGCAATTCAACTCCCTGAAATATTTAAGAGTGGGATTTAATAATTTTGCAAAGTGAATGTAACTGCAGAGTTTGTTCAAAAATAAATCGTCAGAATGGCTATGCTACTGTTCACAATTCTTACCCTAATAACACTTTTACAATGTTGTCATTCATCATCACCTTTTCATTGAGTGTATTTATGTCATACTCATATAAATCTACCCCATGGACAGACAAGCTAGTTGTTGATTCTTGTGGGATAAATGTCTCCAAATTGACAACTGTTACTTCCCCTTAATAATGAAAGACAGTGTTGTTTATATTCATGCAATAAATTATTCCTCTTGCTGACCAATCTTTGAGGCTATAATAGATCGCATGCAATTTGGATTTTCATGTTACCTACTTTTAGACTGTGTTATGCTTGTCGGTGATACATCCATATCATTCACATTTCTTTCTTTGGCAAATAATTTGCGTGATACAGTACCACTTTCCACATTTCCACATGCTGGAATTTTGCCATCATCATCTTTTGTCATTAAATTAAAGAAGAAAATAAATCAAAGTGTGAATCTGTTGCTAGTTTTCAAAGTTGCAAATGTGATAGATTACTGGTCTTATAACAAATTAAAAAAATTATCATATAGCTATACATCATCATTTTCCCACTTACATTATAGTGTATAGTATAATAAACCATACCTGTGCAAGAAGTGTCAAGTTGATTGTCAAGTAACAAGGGAACAACTTGTGTCAACCAGAATTTCTCGAGTTTGACACACACAGAACTCATGAAAGATGGTTCAAAGGGAACATGTACAATGTGAATTCCTTTAGTTGTCCAGACAACAAAGTCACAAATCTTGGCGGAATAGATGAACAGTTGCATCTGAACTTGATAGTAGTATCTACAATTCTTTTGTAGATAATACACATCTTTTCTCAAAATGCCTCCAATTTCTTTTGATACAAATGCTTCTTTCGGATCACTGTTCTGGTGCATCCACGGACACTTGTACTCCACAATGACAAAGCCACAGCCAGAAGAGCATTTGCAGCTTCTGATATCATCAACACTAGCTCCCAAAAAAGGCTTTTGTTGACATATTTGAAAACCCTTATGTTCTAGGTGGAGCTTGTGATGTTGCTTCCCTGCAACAGATGCATAACATTTCCTGGCTTCTTTTTCCTTTACTAATCCCCAGTCCCTGGGATTATTTGGCTTATCAGAAAGCATATTTGGTTGGCGAAAAGATGGCTTTGAAACAATGGATTTTGCTAAAGCAACAATGTGATGACTGTTACCTTTGTCTAGAGTTGTCTGCCTTGTGACAACAGCTTTACACTTGGATGCTGATATAAAGCCAACCTTGTGTTGGAACCAATCTTCACTTTCCCATTGATTCAGGGTTGCCTTTTCCACATCATTTATTTCAGAATCACTGAAGGTCAGTTGGTTTAAAAACGCTTCTGCTGTTGGAGTGCATTTATTAGTGCTCTTTTCGATGAACTGATTAATTTTTTGTTCCATGATACCAGAACCATTCTTGGCAGTTGTTGGCAAAATCAGTCCAGGCAGGTTTGTTGCTTTTGCAGTATTATCAGGGAGGTAGAGTTTCTGTAGCAAAGGGAAAATAGCAGGTTCATCACTCAGATTATCCAATTTGCTGGTAACATTTTTTTGCATCAAACTGGTGAACTCAGCCATTTCATCATGTGACTTTTCCTTACGAAACCTCTCTTCTCTCGGATCATGATCAATGTTTTGTAGCCATACATACTCACACTTTCTCTTCTTATCCAACCCTCCATATACACATTTAGAAATGTTTATATCCTTAACCTCGCATGGTTTGATACTCGTTTTTGGCTTTCTTTTCCACAAACATTCACCACTGGTGACACTGTCTTTCCCCTCAGTGTTTAGAAGATATTCAAGGGAGTACATTGCTGCAGCTATATGCTTACACCCTCCATCTCGCCCACCCTTGCATTTACAAAACGCCTCCAGCACACTTCCCTTATTTGGCCCCTTTCCTTCCAGGATAAACCACAAGTTATAAAATTCTTGCCCACCGTCTGTCTTCGTACGCATTGTTGGGTTCACTTTGCCAACGTAGACGTGCACTCCGCATTTCTTCAAAGTTAATGTGGACAAAGACTCCACATAACCATCATCGAACAGGCGATAATCATCGTATGATTTGTAAGATGCAAGTCCCTGTTTATCATAATCACTTGAGTGGTAAATTAGATGATTGAAAATGTCGTAAAGTCCGAACGGCGGCGAGTCGATAAAGTTGTTTTGCGTAGGCAAAGTGAATGGATCTGGTACAGCAACATCATGAATAATTAATCTTTTCTCCAGATTTTTCTCCGCATCGTCACGTTCAAAGTTAGGGTCTAACGGAAGCATCATTTTCTCAACAGCAGTAGCAATGACCACCAAAGCGGGCTTCAGGTAGCCATGAATAGTCACGCCGCGTTCTTGTAAATATTTTTTTAGACTAGCGACATTCATCGAAGAAAACTTCTCTGATACAGAGTCACTAGACATTTTACTATATTGTTTGGATATAAAGATAACCAAAATATGAGGATAATTTGCGCTTAATTTGCAATTCTAATCAGGAGCTACAGTCATTGCCATGTTCACTTCTATTAAACAACAGGCCGAATGTCCGCAATGTTTATATTTCGAGTCACGTGACCCACCCTAAAACTACACGTGCTTTTCACAGCTGAAGTGGTGGATTGTACATAACAAGACGTTCTCAATTGCATTTTATGTATATGTTGACGCGAGTAAAATGTATTCGGATATAAATGCGCACTGCAATGTAATCCTTTAGATTGCTTATCATTGCCGGTGAAATCAAGTTGGGCCACGATCATCCAATCATTCCGAATAAACATGACATGAAAGGTTGCCAGACCGTGAAAATGGCTTGGCTGAGGTTAGAAAAGTTGTTAGCTTGGGCCGTGGTTGTTACAATTTATAGGATGCATTTACTTACATTGAAACAACAATTGTTTACAAACTTTGCTGACATTTTTCATAAAAAAAAAGGGTAGATGCTACCTCGAAATATATATAATTATATGATATAAAAAGATTTCGCCAGACAAAATGGATTAATGCTTTCATGCATGTCTTATAATCTTGATTAGTTAATTTTACTGTAAGCAGGAGGCACAAATTGTGTCACAAGTAGATGTCTCGAAGATGTTGAGGATCGTTTGTTTCTTAAAATGGTGAGTATAAACTCCCCTGTGCATGCATTTGGCATTGTCGTTTCTATATGGGCGTCTGCTATTGCTATATGCTTTAGTGAAAATACTGTGCAATCTCTTCTTGCTGCCGGGGTTGAGTATTAAGTTGTTTTGCAGGGCGGAACTGATTTCGGACCTTCGAGATTTCGGATTGCCGCGGTCGTTTGAAATGAAGATTTCAAAAATTATCCCATTAATTTACGCGTTCTATTTCTTTAGGTCACTATTGTTAGGCTCATGCAGGTAGCATAGGTATCTACACAGTTAACTATGTAGAAGTTCGAATATTTGGGGGGAAATAAAATATTTCCTGATGAATATAGTGACCACCAAAGAATTTAGTTAGCTAATTTAATATCACAAGTATTATCGATATATTGGTTCATAAGTCATAACACATGCATATGTGATCGTATGGTCACAAAAACATATCACTTACAAAACATATCACTTAGCTTTGCGAAGAAAATATGGCGATGGTGCATGCAGTCGATAAAATAGATTATTATCATAATATTCTTAAGGTATAATGATGCCCTTAGTTGCTACTGACAGTACTGTGTATAGGCGACATTCCGCGACAAGCTTGACCGCAGCTAGAGGCTATTGCCGCACGGAACATATTGTGTGCACTATAGGTAAATATCCAAGCTTGTATTTTAAATATTCTATTACCGCGCAATGCATTGCTGAAATTTAAATGGGGATTTTCACGTGCATAAATGGTTTGGATATTTAATGCAGTAGGCTATTTGTACCAAATAAGTTTTGACAGCATGCAAGCATACGTTACTACGCTGGTTCGCATACAAACGAACTTTGCGTATGCGATATTCTGCATGTATAACTGTTATTGATGTCTGGTTATCATCTGTAAATAACTTGACCTTGCGCTAATTAATTTAGTCGTCTGCGCGTCAAAGAGTATAAGCAATAGTGTACAATGGAATCTCTTGTGTTTAGCTTAACATAAAATATGTATCCAGTAGCTGAAACTCAACTAAACTGAGACGGTGACCAATGACATATTGCCTATGATATTATTATCGAAGCCAGGCCATTTATTGCAATCTTCGTTTACTCTCGGTTTAGAGCCGTGTTAATAAAGCGGATGCATGCAGCATGCATGATGTGTTTATATGTCCTTAACCACCATACATATAGTTTGTCCGTGGAGAGATTTACAACATCTATAACGTTGTTGCAAATAAACACGCGCTGAATATTTTGATGGGTATAGTTGCAGATGATGCATTGATTAATTTGACATAACGATGATAATTTGCACTAATAACTGAAGGCTTTCTAACGAATAAACCCGAATTTTGATACAAAATGCAAATGTACCTATATATGTATATAAGGTATAAAATAATGTGATTTAGGTAGTTTAGCTAATAAATTTAGTTAAACATTCAAATGAAGGTATAGCTATTTATATGTAGCCTACACGCATACTTGCGCCAACACATGTTACGTGTTTGAAAATATTTCCTATTAGTCAATAATATCTTGCGTCAATCATACGCGCAACAGGCGTTCAGACTAATTCGTTAAAACCGTTCATAAACATAAATCGTTCAAACGGCTTCAGATTGAACGTTTATTTATCCGTTCGTATTTTCGACTTTAAACGTTCACATTTTTAGCTGAATTCGTCAAAACGTTTTTTGGGTTCGTTGAAACGTTATGACAGATCGTTCACTACCCGTTCGTTATCCGTTCGTTTAGCCGTTTCAACGAAATATCGTTAACGTACGTTTTCCCGTGGAAGGTCACATATAGCCTCATTTGGGCTCTATACTGCTAAAAACAGATTAACAATAAATCACAACCAATATTCGAATATTTTGTTACTTGCATTATCATCCCTCCCTGCTACATGACTAACAAAAGATTAACGTCGGCATTTTAAATTTGGAATGGCGAAGAGATAGAGTAGGCACGGAGTTTAGGAACTGTTGAGTAAACGAACAGGTCCATATTTAGTAGACCTGCATGTCATATTTAGCAAACTGCATGTCAGTCTTGACGAGCTTCTGCAAAGAAAAATAATTTGTCTGATTATCGATTTGTGTACATTGTATAAATAAAAACTGAGAAATGGATGCATGGATCATCCGCCCAACACACAATTACAAAAAAGCTCTGCAAATTCTTAGAGCAAAAGCACAGATTTCGTTGATGATCTGCATGATGATGTTATCTGATGATATCTGATATCGAAAATGATATCTGATTATTGATCGAGCGTGTGGTCTGTGCTGTGAAATATCAGACCGAGGCATTTTAGTAGGGGATCGAGGGACGTAGAAGCGAGGATCGCGCAAAGGTCAACAACCGAGATACTGGTTCAGATACGGAATATGCCGACCAAGGTCAGGATATGGATTTTTCGGCAACCAATCAGAACAGAAGATTTTTAAAAAGAAAGTTTTTAATGATAAAACGGACACATAAAAGCAATTACTGTATATTTAGAGGCTGATTACATGGTGTCATTTCAGCCTGGCAAACCGGGCCTAAAGTATTTTTCAAATAAATGGCAAGTTTCAGCCGGGGCTGTGTTTATGACACGTCATTATTTTAAGAAAAGGCTGAAATTTAAGCCTGGGCTGAATTTCTAAAGGCTGGTAGTAACCCTATTTCGATTCTTCGAGCGCTTTAGAACCCCGAATTACAATAACTTGACCTTTAAGGGAGTATGATTGCACATAAAAGTGAAATAACAAAACGAAAAATCATTGTCAAGGCAAAGTTTTCTGTCTGGGTTTAAGTTTTTTTACGATTACATGACAATCCCAGCCCGGGTAGCTTAAAACGAGCTGAAAATTGAGCCCGGGCTGAAATCATTGTCATATAATCTTGAGGTATTTTTTATTGGCATTTCATAAAAATACCACGCTGAATTTACAGGGCTGAAAAGCTGTAAGCCGGACTGAATCTCAGCCCATCAAGGTTGCGGACTATGGTTGTATATTAACTCGTATACAAGTGTCTCTACAAAGCACCTTTAGCTAATTGAGGACATTCATCCCTTGTGTGCGATTAGATAGTTTGTTGATATTAGATAGCCAATTTTAGTGCATGTGAATTAGTTTTTAGCCATTTTTCCTTACAAAAACTGATGTAATTTAACCTACGGTTACAACGTCAGTTTATTTTAATAAATTATCAAATTATCACATTCTTTAGGGACCAGAAAAGCCCAGCGCTAGCCGCAGCGCTTTCGCCTGCAGAGCCAGCTCAGAGAAGGAACTTGCAGAAGGCTAAAGTTGCATAATTTCTTAGTACTCCCATATCATAACCTGGGTTAATTCACTTGAAATCGTTAAAATACTGGAAATAAGAAACTCAACAACCAAAGTTTTTTGAACGAAATGGTCCAAGCTAGGAATCGACCGGCAGCAAGTGGTGTAATCAATGCCTTTTTCTCTCTGGCTTCTCATATTCATTGCTATTGACTGGAAACTTTATGAAATATCCAGGAGTGCGGAACAAACGTATTTTATAAAATACGTAAGGTGCCTGACCATCTTCGGGGTTGATGATTTACCCACACTCCGGTAAGACTATGACTCTCCCCACTTTTTAAGAGTTGATAACTATTAGCATGACATTGGATAACGAAACCAATTAAATTTGACCAATTGGCATAATTTATATGATTGCTTCCGAATTCCGCTGTATTTGTACTTAAGTCATGAAGAATATCTTAACCATCCGAAGCACAAGAAGCGCTTATTATATAGCGTAGATACACGGTAGCAAAATTTAAAATACTATAGCGTATATGATAACTAATTGTGTTTAAACAATAAACAAGACGCCTGTTCTGGCGTTAACTCCGGCGCACGTGCCTGTCTTCAATATAGAGCTTCTGAACATAAACAATTAACAATACAGTTCATATTCGAATTTCGACGCCTTACTAACCTAATGTTCAATCGCGAAATTCAGAAGCACATCGTACTTGATAAAGTATAGAAGTTCAATTTTTCAAAAATGTAAATAAACCGCATGATACATTCCGTTTGTCTTACACTTTGCCTTTGGAATTCGCGCTTATATAGTTATATTAAATCTTCAATCCTGTGCAAACTACCACGTGTAAACGCGCCCATACACGACCACATCACCTTGTTAAACGGCGAAATAGCAGCGATATTATTAAAATAGGACCAGAATGGCAGAATCTACATGTATTAAATATATTCTCACCCCAATTCAATCTAAACTTAATCGAGCAGCATGAAAAGAGCGGTTTATTTGTTCCTTTTGGAGGAATTGCCGTATCATGCGAGCAAAATGAAATCGCGCATCGAAAAATTAGCCAAAGCTGTGCACCACATCTGTCGGGAGATAAGCCTGG